CGCCACCATTATCATCATCACCATCATCATCATACACAGGCACAATCATTATCATAAACAGGCATCATCATCATCATCATCATCATCATCATCATCATCATCATCATCATCATCTTCATTATAGTCATGATCATCATTTTCACCATCATCTTGAGACATCATCATCATCATCATCATCATCATCATCATCATCATCATCATCATCATCATCATCATCGTCAACAAATCATTCAACATCATTTTCATCATGAGCCATCATCCTCATCTTAATCATCATCATCATCATCACTTTCAGGCAGGGGCCATCATCCTCGATGTCACAATCATCCTTAGGAATTTTCATCACCACCATCATTGATAGTGCTCTTTACTTCTTCATCTCCACGGTTATTTGGCATTAACACCATGTCACTCACATCCTTAAGATACAAAAAAATTATCATTGTCATTCATAAACTCACCCAGCTTCACATTCATCTTTATTTACAGTTAATACCGTCATTGTCATCATTTCATCACTAGCAAACATAATCATGCAGTATTCTCATCATATTGAGATAACTATTGACATCTATATACAATAATAGATCCTCATCCTCACACACACATACACATCCTTTCATACAGAGAGAGAGAGAGAGAGAGAGAGAGAGAGAGAGAGAGAGAGAGAGAGAGAGAGAGAGAGAGAGAGAGAGAGAGGAAAGGGACGAGATTTGTTGTGCCATGTCAACCAAAAATCAGGATGTTTAGAAACATACAAAAACCCTAGTTCGCTTTTCTGTCAGGAGTTGGGTGTTGTCTGTAATAGTTTATCCCATTTTTACCAACTATTGTGAAATTTTACCATATTTTCATTTCCGTTGTCCATGTAAGTATATTTTTGAATGTTGTAGTTATCTATAATGATAGATTTTAAAGCTTGTACTGATAAAATTTGCTGTAAACACCTTGTTCTGTAGATGTATTGCTTTATAACAAGTAATACAAGATTATCAGTTTTGTAATATATATTTTTGTTATTTCTAAAGCCAAATATGAGAGTTTCTTTATTGAAAGTAAAAGGAATGAACATAGCATCAAGCAAAAATTCAAAATTCTGAAAAAAAGATTATACTTCTTTGCACTCCCATAGCAGATGTACTATTGTTTCTGATTCTGTTTTACAGAAAAAGCAATGTGGACTATTAGTTAAACCAATTTTAAATAAATATGAATTTGTGGTTAATATGTGTTGATTTATTCTATATTGAAGCCACTGAAGTTTAGAACTTTTAGTAGCTTGGAAAGGGATTATAAATATTCTTTTCCAAGTTTCTTCATCTAATTCAAATACGTCATTCCATTTTTTCCAGTAGATGTATTTTTGTTTAAAGAAAGTATGTTATAGAAGTCTTTCGAGCCCTTAATATTTATTTTTTCAAATCTCCAAATTAGTGGGTATTAATGGGTAAGACAGATGTTCATTTTCTAACTGTTTCTGGGCAATGTAGTCCTTAATAGAATTTATTATGCCATGATATGTAATGAAGTTAGTATTAACATTATACTTATTTTTAAATCTTGAAAAGTATAAAATGTACTGAAGTTTGGCAATTTTATTAGATCATTGATTATAGCTACTCCCTTTTTTGTACCATTCTTTATAGAACACCATTTTTAGCATTTACTGTTAATTTCTTATTAAACCATAACGGAGATTTTAATATTGATACACACTTGTTTATCAAAGTCTGTTCTTTCCGTTTAAGATATCCCCATGATTTGATGGTCTTTCCAAAATTGGTTTTTACATTTCATTTCACATTCTCCTATGTATCCTGATCCACAGTTAGCTAAAATGTCTATATCAATGCTTCTGCCAAGGATATGTTGCCATTTACTTGATTTAGTGTATAACCGTCTGATCCATGTTAATTTTAGTGCCCTGCTGAAAGAAAGTATAACTATCATTTTCAGACCCCCTTCTCTATAATCTTTTATGATAGCGTCCCTTTTCACTTTGTCTACCTTACTGTTCCAATGAAAGCTATAGCGTTCTGAGTTAAACTTTTTAATAAATGATAGGTCAGGGTTTGGCAGAGCAATGGTTAAATTGAGAAATCAACAGTGATTTTATTACATGTATTTTACGAATTGGAGTAAGCATTCTTTTATTCCGATTATTTAAGATTTAAGTCTGACTAATTTCTTATCAAATTTTATTTTGATAATTTTGTCTATATGGAAATCAATACCTAAAATAGTATTTTTTTTTTGTTTTTCCAAGTTCCATTCGGGACAAAATTTTACCTAACTATATTTCATACTTCCTATCCAAATTACTTCTGTCTTACTTTTATTTATTTTTAACCTAGATATATCTGCAAATTGTTTTAATTCTTCGAGTGTCGCTCTTAAGGAATTTCTGGATCCATCAAGTATAACAGATGTATCATCAGCATATTAAGATAATAGTATGGGAGTGTCTTCTATACTGATCCCCCTAATATCAGCATTATTTCTTATTCGAATCGCTAGCAATTCAGCACATAAAATAAATAAATGCGGAGAAATGGTGTCGCCTTTTCGGCATCCACGTTTAATACCGAAAAATGATGATAAAATTCCCCCCTGATTAACAGATGAATTTGAACCATTTTCAAAAATATGAACCCTGTTCCTTATATCATTTCCAAAGTTAAAAAATTCAAGCGCTTTATCTATAAAATTCCAACTCACCGAATCAAAGACTTTTTCAAAATTTACATTAAGTAACATACCAGGAATATCATTTTCGTCTGCATATTGCATCATGTCATATATAATTCTCGTATTTTCCCCTATATATCTACCTGAGATAAAACCAGACTGATTTATAGTAATGAGTTTGTCAAGGACTTTTCTTATTCTATTTGCAATTGTACCTGAAGCAATTTCATAAGTTGTATTCAAATATTGTCTTGGATTATCTCCCTTTGGTAAACATGTTATGATTCCTTGTTTTTGAGTTATAGATAATAAGAAAGCCATATTGAATTGACCTTACGACAAAATTGCCTATCTGTTTCCAAAAACATTAAAAAAATTCAACTGTAAAACCGTTAGAACCTGGACTTTTATTATTTTTCATGTTTTTTACAGTATGAGATGCCTCTTTAAAAGTAATATTACCCTCTAATTTGGCTGTTTCTACAGGATTTAATTTTGGTATATTATCATTGTTAAGGTATTCATTTAAGTTTATGTCATGTAATTTATTGTCTTCTGAATACAACTTTTCATAAAATTGTTTTACTTCGTTTAAGATTTCTTCTTGTTTTCTAATGATTTCTCCATCTTCCTTTTCTATAACTGGAATCATGTTTGCAACAAAATTTCTATTCTCTAGATTGAAGAAATATCTTGTTGGTTTTTCCCTTTCTTCTATCCATTTCACTTTAGACCTCAGAATTCTACCTTTAAGCTTATCCTTTCTTATTGATTATAATTCTTTTTGACAAACTTCTGGTTCTTCAAAATTAACAACATCTTGTGCTTTTCTCTTTTTTATTTTTTGTCTTAGATCTTGCTCTAGATTATTCCTCTCTTTTTTCTTATAAGAAGCATATGAAATGGGTTTCCCCCTAATTTCAAATAAAAGAGTTTCTAAGAAGAGTTGATCATTTATTGTAAATTGTATATCTTGGTTTGAAATATTATCTAAACTATCAAGGTTATACATTGGTACAGCATATTGGATTTTAGCATCTATAATATGTTTTTTTTTGATAATCCAAATCATGAAGTAGATAATTATTAAACTTCCATATGCCTTTGCCTTTCTTAAAATCATTGAATTTTATTGTTACATATTGAATAGAATGATAAGATCGATATCCTGGGTCAATATCAGTTTTTTGTATGCAAGATAACATTCTCAGAAACTAGAAAATATTCTAATCTTGCCTGTTTTACTGTACTAGTTCTCCTCCATGTACATATTTTACTGCTTGGGTGTTGTTCTGAATATATATCGACAAGCCCTAGTTCATTTATTATTTCGCTAACTCTTTCTCTTGCTTTGGGATTGTTAACTTGTTTATAACTATGACAATCTAAATTTGGGTTCAAGACCAAATTAAAATCTCCACAGATGATAAATGAGTCGTTATTGAAATCGAGAATGGTGTCTAAAACTTTATCATAAAAACTGGGTGTATATGAATTTGGTCCATATATAGTTGCAAGCGTAAATCTCCTTTAATAACATGAGTGTCTTGTATGCAATACATGTTAAAATTCATATTTCTTAAATAAGTAAATACATCCTTACCTCTATCACCCAACCCCTGACAGTTAGCGGTTAGTATTCTGACTCCTTCCATACAGTATAGGGTATGTATACAACATTGCTGACACTGCTTACCTGTCTAATAAATGTAGCTATCTGGCACAAAAGTAAAGATGAGGTAAAAGGAAAAGAGGAATATGTGGTATTTAAAGAAAGGAGTAGACAGAAGTAAAACATCATGTGAAATGCGTCAATATTGATAGCGACCAGCATTCATGGCACGATACCGGAAGTCTTGTGACGTCGTTGTAAATAGAAACCAAATCTCGGTACAGTTTCCGGAATTTAGTAATACAAAGTATTTATTGCGTTTTAAAAATCACATTATGCATTTTTAAGCTGTCTGAAAAAGCAATCGTCCCGTTACAGTGTAATTGTGTTTAGACTACCATAATACAATAGTGATCATGTTACAAGTGTAAACTATATGTGTTGATATGAAATAATATGTATGGTTGACTTACCTCTGCACAGAAAACGCAGGCATAAATAGAATATCCTCCAGGGGAAGGAAAGCACATTCAAGGAATAAAGAAAAATAGGAGACACTTTCACTCGAGACATCAGCACATATTTTAAAAAGCGAGCCACTACGAATATCTTGACGTAGGTCGAAATGGCATTAAACCACTAAAAGTCACAACCGACCAGCAAAACAGTGTTCTGCATTTCGCTAAAGTTATTTTTTCGATTAGTTGAAATTAGCGTCATTCTCGAGATACTGCTTTGTGAGCCTAGTATCATGGAAAAGTCTTCTTCTACTTCTTCTTCCGTTCTTCAAAACAACAAAAAGTTTTCCGTCGATGCTGTAAGAATTCTGAACACATTCCATCCGAAAAGCTTCACTAAGTTTCTGTTGGTTGATTTTTGTCAAGTCCTCCCATACAGTGAATCCAGATCCTTTTAGTGTCCTCCGAGTCCTGATGATCTCATGCTTCTTTCGTCCATGTGTGCATTTAACAATGACGGGTCTCTTTCTTTCGGGGTTAAATCTTCCCAGTCTGTGGGCGATGTCAATATCCTCCGGGCTTAGGAGTACTTTCAGCTGTGAGTTAGCAAAGTCAACTACTTTCTTAACACAGTCTTCCACAGATTCTTTAGGTGAATGATCATGGAGACCAGCGATCCGAACAGAGTTCTTTCGACCTTGCTGTTCTAGGTCGTTTAACTGGTTTTCCAAGTTGCTTACGAGGACTTCGGATTCCGTTTCTCTCTGTTCTAGTACACTAACTCTCTCCTTCAAATCTTCATTTTCTGTCTCTAATGTACTTATCCTCCATTTAAGAGAGTTAATAAATTCTCCGTTTTCTCTGTGGATTTCTGTTTGCAGTTCTTCTTTCAGCTTCGTGATTAAAGACTCCATATACTCTCTTGTAACAGAATTCTCAAGTTTCTGCGATAGTTTTTTCAGTTTGTCGGAAACGGTCACAGATTTTCTAGTAGGTTCCATAATGGAAGACATTTACCAAGTATATCCACTGTCCAAACAGAAAGTCGCCGTGAGTGGTGGTCACTACCCGTAGTATTAGTCCATTGTCATATCAAAATCGTCCCAAAAGTGCCATTTTCTGGTACCGATGATGCAGAAAAGATAGGTATGGGATGACAGTACCTTCTTACACACTTATGCTCAAAATCAGACGATAATACAGCACAAGATTGACAAAATTTGCAAATTTTGTCGGAGCGTTGTTTTCACTTGCTACTACAGGTGAGCGTGACGTCACGTACCATGATTCTTGATATAAAAATAGGGAAACAATTTACAAATTGATATGCAGATTGTAGTATATTATAGTATTAAGAAAGATATTCTGTGAGTATACTGGAGTAGATAAAAGAATACATTATATTTTGTGGAATGATAAATGTATCAATTGGAAGACACTGATGTCCCCAACTTTCTGAAAATAAATTCAATTTTTAGCATTTAGTTTCATTATTCATATTATTGCGTCATTCACGATTTACTATATCAGTACTATAACAAGCTGTCGAGTGGTTCTATGTTCGAGACATGCTTACGATATGATGATTCCTGTCAATTTGTATCATATGAACGATACCGTGATTATGCTTTAATGTTTTTGCCTGATATAAGTCAGTGTGATTTATATCTATTCTAGTTTTTCCAATTATACAATTCACCATCTTCGACTGTGAGGTTGAAATGCCACATTTATTTTCATGACATCTGTAAGATTTCTTTTACCAACATTTGAAACTTTTTCAACAAAATAAGTGCAAGACCCTGAACCTGCTGTTATTAATGTCATGCTGTCATTAATTTTATTGCGACTAGTTAAGAAGCAAGATCATGGAACAAAGACCGAATACATAGATCTACATGTTAATCCGCTTAAGACTTTACCATTAATGTTTTTAGCACTGAACAAACTTAACAATTGTATTTTGTAAGTTTAAAAATGCCTGCAGCAGAACTGATTTGTTTGTATTTCTTGTGCTATTTTCACCATTTAAACTGGACACTTAAGCACGATACAAGCAAACGTAATATCAATTTGTTGCCACCGGGGCGTATCCTTGACATTTTCTCTCTTTTCATAGACATTCCCATATTCGGAATCATGCACTCGACAGAATGAAAGCCAATGCATGTCAGATACTCACATCTATTGTGTCTTCCTTGGGGCTTTCTTTGAAAAAACTATAAGAAAGATATAGACATGTAACGCGATCTTACTTAAAACTGAAATTCATTGATAAAGGAGCAAACCTTGTACACCAGAGTGTTTACCTGCTAAGTCCTGTTATATTATGATTTCGGTGTTGTCACCCGACAGAATAAAAAAATTATAACACAGGATTTTATGGGATACAGGTTAATTGAAAATATGAGGTCGTCATAGATTATTCGTTGTGAAATATTTCTCAATATATCCCTTCTTTGTGGGGTATGAAGCCGGACGTGTTTGATGCTGGCTAGTTTGCCTGTTGACTCAGTTGCTGTGAACTTTATTCTTACTTATACTTGTGCAGGAGTCTCTAGTTGAATCTTTCTTTTTTTTCATATTTTACTTTACTTTTATCAAGTTTGAGTTATGGTCATGTATTTTTTGACCAGTTCATATTTTCTTGTTGGTTTTTATTCATTTTTACCCTAGTTTGATTTAGTCTAAGATTTTGATGATTTATTTCGCATGTCGGTGTTTCCTTGTCTTTTGGTACCTGTATAAGATATATCGGGTATATCAAAATGAAATAAAAACCATTTTTAACCATAAATATGCTTTATTGGACTCCATATACAACATGTAAAATCAACACCATCAGATTTCTTGTTAAAACACCAAGAAATCACAAAAAGATCAAGAAACAGTTTTACAAATGTGATTTGTTGCTTAATTATAATAACAATAACCCATGCACATTTCACGAAACTGAAAAATTTGTTTTGATATAACTACTACAAATTCATGAAAGTGAAATGCCGACTTGAAAAAAAACCCGTGCACTTTTCACGATACTCTGGTATCAACTTCAATAAATCCCATTCACATTTCATGGAATGATTCTTCTACATACAAGAGAAAATTGAATTTAATGTATTCAATACTATATACAACGATTGTCAAAATGCAGAAATCAAAACTTAAAATTTGGATAAATGCAACAGAAATGAAGACATATTCTATTTTACTGATAAAACTATCACATATCGCTTTTTACAGAAGTATGTACCAAACCAGTGTATCTGTCAATGTACATGTAATATCAAAGACTAATTTGTGCTAGTTATACCTATATCATATTTGTATCGTTTTTAAAGTAGCGTAAACAATGCCATGTCATTACACAAAAATGACAAGCATACTGCTAAGATGGAATTTGCAATAATATAAACTTGTCAATTGTATATAATACATCATGAACATACTGACATATGAATGTTACGTTAGTATTGATGTTATACTCTTATAAATCTGAAAACGTCATTTCTTTCTTTGTGAGAAATTATCTAAAATAATATTGTTATACAAAACTTTACGTTATCCTCTGTAAACACGTATTTGACATGTTTGATGCTCGTTAGTTTATCTGTTGGTACCGTTGTTGTATACAATGTTCTCATTTGTGAACGTGACATTACTCACTTGGATTGACCATTATTTATATGCCGGGCGTCGTTGATGAAACAAAAGACGCTTTCTCTTCTGGAACAGCTCGTTTGATTCTTCTTTTGCTTTTCAGAAGTTTCCGTGTAGATCTTTCTGTTGTTCACATTTTACCCTTCTTTTATGAAATTTAAATTTGGATTTTGATTATGTTGACCTGTTGATATTTTCTTGTTGTGTTTTATTTATTGGCACTTGCATGCAATGCAGCACAAACCGCTGTGTTGACCTGATGACGTTTTGATTAATCATCGTGTACCCAGATAACGTTATGGTTAATTTTCATCAAATCAGATAACGTTACGGTCAATTTTTGTTCAATCAAATGCTTAAAACCAATGAAACTACTATCGTTTATAAGTGTGTAAATGAGCTTGCACATAGGAGAATTTTGAACATTGGTTATCTGCCGCGGTTTACACTAATTGCGCTTAAAGAAATGAGTTGTAGTGAACGCATGGCAGTATTAATCATTAATTAGGATAATTTAAAACAGTATGCGCAATCGTTTAGATACGTGACGTAATGTTGATTACTAAGTGTTGTCGATCGAGCGGATCAATCAGTTTATGGAGAGAACTGTTTCCGGTTATGTTTTTTTTTATTTCCTTAAGTAGAACTATCCAGTTATAAATGTAACATTTTATATAGAATACAATATATATCATATTCAACCATAATTTCATCTATATAATCATGCATAAAAAAAACAGAAAAAAAAACCACTACAAATGGCATGAAAAATCCTCAAAACTGTTATTGTGGTAGAATTTGGTCTATCTATTGATTAATTGACCATCAGTAGAAAGATATTGACTTTTATATTTATATGTTCAGTTTGAGAAGGGTCAGTACTCGACCGTATTACTATATGATTTATGATACAAATGTATCTTTTTCCTGATACGATTTAAATCAAACAACATGTGTTTAATGGAATTACAGGATATTTGCTAAAAACAACCGTAACACTTGTTATATTTCTCTGTTATACATATTGGTACTAGTGACGACATCGTCAACGGGAATTCAGATGCTATATAAACATGTTATCAATCAAATTTGTCATGTTGCATATTGATCAATTAAACCGTACCAAATGTCATAAAATGTGAAAAATTGAAAAATGTTCAGTTGAAATATCTGGGAATACGTGTTGTGAGATTCTTATTATATCAATTTATAATCTAAGCATGAACGCGAAAATCGGCGATTTACCATTGTTTCAAAACAATTAGGCTCACTATATCATAGTAAACAGAATGCCGTTTTGATAACAGAACACGTTGCCCTATAACAATTACCAACTTGAGCCCAAAATAAAAACTTGTCAGTCTCGTGTTAAAACCAAACTTTGTGCTGTAATCGCCAGAGGATATATAAAAACAAGCATACTTTCATCCCCTAATTGTATGGTGACGACTACGTTATCTCAAAACAATAAATATGAGGCGTAGTGACAAAACCAGGGAGTCATAAACAAGCGTTGGTATGGAAACCCCATTAGTGGAATACATTGGCAATAACGAAGACGATCAGAGGGGGAAATGATGAAACTTTATTTACATAGTGAAGGGTCGCAACCATTAAAAAACAGACATTTATGGAGAATGCTTTACCTGTTTCCGATAATTTTTCTTGGTAACGTGTCATCCCCAACCAGAGGACAGCAAATTGTTGTTTCAGAACTTGAATATTCACAATTTACTAACAAAGTATTATCATCAATGTTCAATCGCCTTACACAATATATTATGAGAGTGTAAATCGTTCTTACATACCTCAATATTACCAGACAATAATTTTAACACCAATTAACTACTTAGATGATTATAGCACAAACAAACTCGACTAACAGAAGCTGAAGTAAGCTCCTCCACAAATAGCGTAACGATTTTTTATATACATCTCTGTACAAGACAAGAATGAAATCTTTAACAATGAACTTCTCACATACACAAAATCTACACCGGTAGTGGCAACCGACGTATACGTGTGAATTCTGACTTGGAAACAAGGAACATTGAATTCAAAGTCATGTTTAAAGACGACCATCGTTGTGAAATGTTTTGATATTATGTAATCCAGTACAATATATGTTGTTGTAAATCTTTTACAGGTAAGTGAATCAGTGATTGATCACTTCCCAGCGGCAAATAATCAATATTTTGAAACCAAACACCAGAAAGAAAGGAAGTTCATGTCTAACGCAGCCGTTTAAAACATAGACTTCTACAGCGAGGGGTTACTAGACAATACCAAGCGAACTCACGAGACTGCCGAGAAGGGCTTTTACACTACACTAAATAGCACCGATGCATTGTTTGTCTGTCACGAATGTAATACCGACGCTTCATCTACTACTTAAAATTTTTCTCTAACATTGAATACTGTTAACAATTCTGTTGTTCTGTACACAATCAATAAGTATCATGTCACAAATTAAAATGTAATATGAAATTTTAAATGTCATAAGTTATATCACAAAAATGATTCATGTTATCAATTACTGACAAACTCTATCGGCATATTACGTCATAACTGATTCCACAGTTTACGACGATATGTCAGAAATAGAATTACAGAAACAATTTTTTGAGGTCAGCTTATATGTAATTCTCCAATATGTAACGTTAAATGATAAACAACATATATCTGATATTGGTCATTGTCCTACTACATGAAATGATATTAAACATTAAAATGTTCAATTTCACCACGCATCTGTTTCACTTTTATCATGAAAGTTTGACAATGTAATCTGCTCTGTCTGACTATAGTTGCGACCCACGAAATGTTGAGTGGTGGTGGAATTAGAATAGATTGACATTGTCGGCTGACCACGTCCCCGGATTCTCCTCTTTTGTTGCAGCATGCCACAGCTGATTGCCATGCGGAATTCTTTTCTAAACTTTGCTGAAAAGACAAACAATCAAGCCATATGGTATATTTATATCTCCAACACGTAATCCTCTTTTTTAATCTTTCCAAGCTTTCAATGTTGATAAGAAAAACAATTAAATTGAATTGTATAGTTATGCTCCTCATGCGTTTTCCTTAATTTCAGACGAACACATGTACATGTAAAGTAACCTTGATCTATTGAAGGAATGTAGTTACTGATATTGCTTACAAATTCTCAGATCTGAAAGACATAACACTCAAACAATATTATCGCCTAGCTAGCGTATAATTGGAAAGTAAAACTACGCATACACAACGCATACACAGAGGTTGTATAACTTTGTTTCTAGTTTCAATTGTGTTTACTTTTAATTTCAAGAGAAACAAATCAAAAGTTATTGCCGTTTTCCTTCCTTGATGTAATTTTAACAGCATTTACATTAAATCCTATCGCTTAATTAGGGAACACCAACGCATTCCTTTTTTTAAGCGTTAAATTACAGTTACACTTATGTAAAGATACAGCACCGTATATGTCAACAATGATGTAATCAAAATCTGATTGACGACCATTCCGACAACGTACACGAGTGAATGTATGTTTAATTAATTCTCAGAGATTTTCGGATGCCATCCGAATAATACTCTCAATTTATTCACTGCAAACGATGCTTTCACTGTTAAAATATCTTTGTACAGATACAGTATATTCAAAGGAAATTATCCTCAACGCGAAACGATCAATAATATCTTCATCTAAATGTTATAATTACTACGCATAATTACAAAAATATCAAAGTAACTGTTTATTTGATATATCTAACAAAAAGGTTTAGTGTTCTGTTCAGACAGGTGGCAGAGATTTAAAACTGGCTACTCTAAAACAGTTACATGTGCAATATTTAAATATACAAAGTATAGTTGCATGATAGCGTTAGGTAACAAAAATACATTTTGACAACGTCACGAAATGCTTTCACGCGCTTTTAAATGGTTTTCCTCCTCGTTCTATCTACAATTGTAACTATGACTTGGGTTGTCAACCGACATCTAGGCATAAGATCATGTCCAATTGATGTTGATAAGTTGGTCCAGTCGTTTGATATTAGTCTCCTATCAATTTTTACTAGTTTTGTAAATATTTCATCACGTTACCATTTATATCAAAACATCTACGTTAAAAATGAATTTAAAGATGTTTAAAACGGATGTATTAAAATTTACTAGAAACTACATGGAGATCCAATTCCTTTTTAAACATACTTACCACTCATGAAGTTATAAATGACGGGATTGATGGAGCTGTTGAAGTACGGTAACCAGTGAGATATGAGCGCCATCACTAGTACAAAATTGGTTGGCAATTTGAGTAGCACTCCCGTATACCTGCGAAAATGACATTACATTTCATTTAAGTAAAATAACAATAAGTTACGTTTTGATGCCGTTTGTGTAGAGATTCGGTTCTAGTTTCTACGAAATATTAGAAGCAAAATCTGTGGCACACTGTCGACCTGATTACAACAATGTCATGAAAAAGATATTGTTAATACATCAATAACATAAAGCATTGTCAGAGATGGGTACATCATTTTCAGACAAAAGATAATTTACTGGTTCATTCTTCCATCGTGATGCCGGAAATTTACCGGACAGACGATTGTCTTTAAATATCAAATTATACAACGGTAAGTCTCGTTAAGACAAGAGGAGCGGGATGATTAATAATGATCCATTTTTCTTTAATTGCAAAAGTATGGTAGGTATACTTAAAGATATCATTATTTAGAAGTCTTTACGTAAGTTTACCGTTTAAGTATGTGCAATGCAGTTGATGTTAGTAACTTCTACAAAGCGGTTATCATAAATTAGTATTGATATGAAATCTTGAGCCTTTGTAAGACACAAAACGTCAGCAAAATATGTAGCCATTTGATGCCTTTTAGCTATACGATAAGGATAGCTTTCATTTGAAAGAAACAAAATGAACTCGTGCAGACCCACAAACCATACTTACAGTGTGAGGAACACACGATATGTTTATGAAGATACGAACAAAATCGACAATTAAAGTAAGGTGAATTATTTAAGTGAACCGCAATGTGTATAGCTAATGTATTTGTAACGACCACAAGTTACTTGTATCGTACGAAACACACATAGTAAGGTGGATAAAAGCTCTTAAGGCAGACCTCATCACTGTCCATAGACATCAATACGGATTCAACAATGTTGATGTATAAGGTCATGCTCACGGCAAGGTCTTTGATTTACTTTGCTGTGTAAAATAGTCTGTCATCGAAATTGAATTTTATTTTGAAAATCCTTTCGTATTGTAGAATGTTTTGAATACAGACAGAAACAGACATCCGTCAGACATGTCGAGAGCATGATAATAACGCAGGAAAGTGCGCTACCGTTTGGTGATAAAGAAGGCAAGCATAGCCAATGAATAGAAAAAACGATTTAAACTTAATAATCTAAAAGCCTTAAAACCATTAAGTCTCGTAAAGCTGCCTAAGGCACGGCTGTTCGTACACTAAATGTAAGTTAAAAAGTGCATTGTAGGGGCTTTAAATCTAACCACTCCAGTAGTATGGCAAGGATCATAAAATTGACAGTACATCATCAGTTAATCTAAACGTAACGCAAATCGACTGCAATACAACGTAAGAATAAAAATTGATATGAAGCTCGAATGACCTTCACCTGTTATTCATCTTCTATTGATTAAATGCATTTGCTAAATTTTCTTGTGCAAAAGCAAATGTCATCACCACATTGTCTTTAGCTGATACACAGGTTCTGCTCCTACATAAATAATATTCTCACTAAAAAGAAATTTGCAAGTTCTGCGTGTTTACGGCGATTTTAAATTTGACTCTAGGTCTACCTAAAATTGTAGGTGAGAACCTTGTGTCTTGCATGTGAAGAAATCAATCTATTGATGATCTGCTTAGTTCAGAAACACATCACTTTCTGAAAATATAATTATCTCTATGATTAAGTGGTACAGTCATTTTTGTTTAATCTATCTCCCCCTAAAATTCAATTGAATGCTATTTACTTTTGTGTATTATGTACATTATTTCAAATAGTAGCATTTTTGTCGAATTCGCTACAGCCAATGTGCGTATATTAAAAAGGTCAAATCATTGAACAAAATTCACGAAAATCATATGGTTGTGATGAACAAATATGTGCTCCTCTAACACGAATATAAGGACAGTTTTCTAGTTATGCGAACACCTATCAAATTTACCAAGTTTGGACAATATCAGCAGGACTAGTTTTAATGCAAATTGACAAATCTTTAGCAGTTGAATAACTAACAATAATGATAAAAAATAAGCAGCTTTTACCAATTTGACCTTCAAAGAAAATAGTTTGACCTTCAAATAGGTGTTTTTAAAGTAATATCAAGATAATATATACTTCAAAAGTACTAGTATTTTCTATCTTATCCAACTTAAGTACTCATCACCATAAGTGTCCTGATGGTAGTTCTCTCCATTCTGTAACAGGAAGTCATTATTAACAAAAACAAAAATAATGAAATAAAATCTTTGGAATTTTAACGGGCGATGGACGACTCAGTTCTATAATAAAAGTTGCGTCAGAAAGTAATATGTCTCTAGTGTGTAGTATCATCACACGCAGAATACCTTACGACGAGGGGAAACAACTAAAATGCTGTGCTGGTTGCCGTCATTAATATTTTGATAAAGAAAAATGTTCTGCACTTCTGCCGTTTCTTTTTGTTTAAAGTCAACGTGTTACCAACTAAACAGACTCAATGCGATTTACGTCTTTAGCACGTCATTGTTTATTTATCCAATCGAAATAAGTAAGACGCTGAGGCAGGCGTGACCATCACTGATGCATATTTCATTATGTTATTCGATAAAAACGCAATACTTCCGATTCTACTCACAGTTGGTTTCAGAAAGAAAGGATGCAAGGGGTCATATTTGGCAATGTTATGGTCATCACCGCTATGACATATTTATTTGTAAAATGTCTCTTTTTTTACAACAGTAACCTACCGATCGACCTGCCCGAATCGATTTCGCAGGGACGCTGCCTATTTAGTATTAATCGTTAGCAGCTGTTGCGCCCAGACAAGGGGTAAAGGTACCAAAACCTGTTTGTTTCACCCACGTTTACGTTTCCGAGATGTGTTATCGCCAGCTGTTACTTAGACTTATCAGAATAAATCATTATGCTGTTGCAAATGTTGCCGTGTTTAGCGTTAAGCTATTTTATAAATCTTTGTTGCTAATACTTGTGTTAAATTGAATTGCCACAAAGAGCATACCGTGACAAAATATATATGTGTTAATACATTTCTCTATAGTATTGCCTACAAGCAAAACTGGAAAACCACATTTCAGACACTACTCAATCCAAAATACACTGTACTCAAATCGATTGAATGAAACAGCTTCCTCTCTATAAATACGGAAAACAGTTTGATTTTTTTCTGTTTGTACATTTGACGAAAAAAAAGTAACATTCTGGACGTTGTCTAAATGAAATAAGAATATTTATGTACTATTTTTCATAATCATGGACTGTCATGTCAAATATAATTCTTCTTATGTAATTACATAATTATTGTAATGTTAAGGAAACATCAGTCTTTTCTTTGGGATCACATGATTCTAAGGACAGTGCAGAGATCCTTCCAACAGTCGTTATAAACGATAATTACTTTATCACGTCCACGTACATGGCATATCTTACGCGTTATCATTTTTTCTGATGTGATGTATAACTTGTTAACAAATATACAACGTTGTCTCTAATCATCACAACTGTACAAACAAGCTGTTGCAAATAAAGTGCGTTTAAAGCAATCAATACCTATGAATATAACATTAGTGACAAATAGTTGAACATAATTCGAAACATAATGCATTTCAGTATTACCAGGAAGCTATTACTAAGATGTCAGAACAGTGTTAGTGCCATTCTTCATAGTAAGTATAACCACCAACATGAAATTAGGTCATTTGAATTCCATATCATATACTGCTTCTGATAATTCATCAAATTTTCTCTTTAAGAATGACACGTTTCATGTCATTCTGAATATTAGTTCTATCCACTTTAATAGATATGAAACCCCCAAACGAACATAAACACATCTACTGGCACATGGGAGGCGCCCGATAATATATGATATCGTCTTTCTGACCACAATACAGACTGATGTATTATAAATTTACCTGAAAATATTTAGAAGATGAACTGGGAAATATGAGACGGCGAAAATGATGACAATTGTGATGAGCATCTTGGCGGCTTTCTTTCTAGATTCCAGTTGTTCATCTGCTTTATTCATCTTACTGTTCATCATTGGTTTTCGAGCTAAAACGAAAACGGAATATATTTTTGGATGGAAAGTAAATAATTGTTCGCTGACGCCAGTAAACGTCTGTTCGCTTCAGTCTGTTATAATAATAGCAGTGTATCGGTGCCGATGTACCTGGCGATCGAGTGTTAAATCCATCAAAGTATAAAGCCATACAGTTCATTTACCAACGGTCACTTATGTTTTGGGTTGTAACTACACGATAAAAATGTTAAAGGAGGTATATGCCTGTTGCAGCCATCGCCAATGACAAGATATAATTAAGAAAATGCCTGTTCTAAATGTTTTAAGTGAAATATGACCGGCACAAGATTTGGAAATGAAAGGAAGACGCAATTATACAATTTGATTGGTTTGTTTGTGGAACACAACAGCTTTGCAGAATATATAAAATGAGTCTTCAGAGTAATATAATATGTTTGTTTGTGTCAATTGATTATTAAACCATTAAACATATATAATATTCTCAACGCTGTTAAAATATTTGGCATACATCAATGGAAAATTGTTAAGTGATGAGCATGGGAATAGAACCTACACATGGTACTGATATTAGATACATTTGAGATGACAACATAATAGAAATTCTAAGAAATATCAATTTCTAACAACTTTTTTGTAAAATAGACTTATTTACGTAATATATATTCCGTTTTGTTTATCGTTGTTTAAAACACGTAAGTCCGGCATTTCATTCATTTTGTACATAACCAACTTAACAGGCGCTGTAAACTGGAACTGGTTACAGATAAAGAATTACGACACTTATTTATTTTTCTTCGTCGGTGACTACGTCGAAGGCATCAAACTATCTTATCTCTGCAATATAATTTTGTCAATTGATACAGAAATAGTTTTAGCTAACTTGTAATAGACAATAGTTATCTATATTATATTGTTAACAGCATCGTTTGAAAAGATGGATAATTGGAATATTTTGTTTATTCAAGACAGAAAAAGTGATTGTCATTCCAATTCGATTAAAATCTACTTAAATAATTTATCTACATACCACTTCATATGAACGTGCGACATTTAAAACGCTGAAAATCTTGACAGCTTAATAAGAAATAAGTACATTTTTTTTATTTTAATCATCGTAAAACTGTGTTGAAGTAATGGAATTCTAAATCTGCTTTATTTCTCTTATCCAGTGGTCAATCAATATATAATTTGCATGATTGATATTCTTGGAAAGACTGGTAAAGCTAGGGAAAGTTTGGTACCCGAAGGATAGCAGTTGTAGCAACTGGTTTCATGCAAATCCAAACGACATTATGAAGTATAAAAAAAAATTCACGGGAAATATATGCACGTTTGTTATAAAGGACGAGAAGTGCCAATGTGTGCCAAGTATAAGAGTCGACTACATGTACATTATAATGAAGCATCTGATATCTTCGTTACCTAATGACTACTTACTAGCTAGGAAGCGGCATTAATATCACAAATGGCAATTAATTTAAGATACGTGTATATCAATTTCATTCCGTACCGATCAAAACTCCATTTGCACTTTATTTTGTTTTTGGAGGTTAGAGCTTGCATGGTTTTAAAGTTTAATAAAACGCTTTCACTGAAGTCATACGGTCAGACAATTGTTAATAAACGGGCAGTTTCAGGACGTCGCAGGATTGGTTAGTCGAGGAAAGTCGGAGTTCTTGGAGAAAAACACCGACTTGCAGCCATTACCTTGCGATTGCCCCATGTAAGCCGTGATCCATAGGTAGGGACAAGTGAATATTGGCAGATTGCTGAGAATTAATGTATATAAGGTATATCATTACATTGATTTCTACAACGCATGCACAATTGCAACAAACCTCTGCATTAGATAGACGGGCATTTGACAATTACTGGGTTTCAAAAATACAGGTCGATGAAAATCATGGGAAGTTTTACGGTCATCATAGCGATCTATGAGAAATATTCTATTTCATTGTTCGATATGGACGTGTTTGATGCTCGTTGATTTGCCTATTATTCTTGTATCTTTTCAGGGGTGTTCGTGTGTATCTTTCTTGTGATTATATTTTACTCTGCCCCTAGTTTTAGTTTTAATTTGAGTTTGGATTATGATAAGGTGACATGTTGGAATGTTTTTTTTTGTTGTTGTTGTTTTTTGGGTTTTTTTTGTAAATAATTTTACAAAAATATGTCTAGTCCTTTTAGGAAGCCTAAATACTCTAAGGGATCAACTTTGTGCATATAATTCGATAAGAATAAGACAGACCTACATCGGTCGATAAAATAACAATGATAAGAGAAGATATCCATTACCCTTTAAACGCTTGTCTTTTAATGTTTGAAGAAATTGAAAGACATAGATACGTGTGGATTTTCTGCACTCATGTTAAAATGATTGAAAAACAATCTTAAACTTTGATTGCAGGGCTATGACAAATCTGTGAAAAAATATTTAACACTTAGAGCTTACTACGCAGTTATCGCAAATATGGCTGAGTAGTTTAAAAGCAAGTGTATAGATAACTTAATACAAGTCATTTTTGTTAGGAAGTTTCATCGATAAACTTGCAAGGCTTACACATATCGCAATATCACAAGTTATAGAAAGTTGCCTTGTATCCAAATCCGATGAGTCTAAAGCACTTTCGTTTGTTATTTAATTGACTTGACATACCATTAAGAATCGACAATCGTCGCTATTCAAGTCAGGTGAAAACGTACATAGCACTGTGATTGTTCACATGATCGCTTTGTTATGAAATGACGTTATGTACTTACATGTTGAACGGTGAGATGTTGGAGACCATATATAAGAAGCGATGATGACTTTTATATATGAATGTCCATTTTCTACATATTTGCTTGGATATCGATCTTGTGTTAAAACAGTTTAAGATCCGCTTCCATTTGATATGTGATTTAATGAAACTCATCACGAATTTTTCACTTCAGATCAGATCACCAATAGTTCCCTCGCCACAAAGAAAAGTTCTGAGGCTAGTTTCATAAATTCTCACATCAAATGGAAACTCATAATCCTTATTACGCTATCGTTAAATAAGTGATACTGCGATTTTCACTTAGGACCAATGATGTTCATACCTTGTTAAAGAAATTTGGTTAATAACAAGTACAATAATATTAAAATGCATTCGAATCGGCACTGAAATTATATTAAAGCCAGCTAAACGCATTTGCGGCAAAATTAAGCATAACAAATCTAATAGCGGTAAGGACATATCAGAGTTACCATGTACGCTAGTCATTCTGTAAGTTGCAAGCTATGCTATATTCAAACATTTTCCCTAAAGACAGATTTTAGAACACAGAGTAACGTTTGTTTATTTAGGCATTTCAACAAGCAAGGCCATTGGTGCTACTTACAAAGGACGGCTATAGTTTTAGGGAGATGTTGACACCAACAAAATAGGCGGGTGTTGATCGACTCATCACTTAGCAATTCCCTAAGCCTAACAGATATACCAACTCGTACATTAACACATCGTTATTCAAGGCATTACGTAACACAGCAGGGGAGCTTATTAGTGAAAATGTTTCCAAGGTCAAAGACATAAGTTCCTCAGTACAGGTGGGCACAGCTTGATTAATGAAAGTTTAGTTTTGTAGTTAATGCATTTTGCTTTGCATTTTTAACTTTAAGTATACTTCATAGGTATATTATCTTAAAGTTATGTAATCATTCTGAAAGAGCAGCAGTAGGTTGCATCAGTTAACAAACAAAATCGGGAATCAATAATTATCACGAAAGCGATTTGCAAAGTCTTACAGAACATCTCCAAGATGTAAGAAAAATGGATGTAAGATACATGGTAAGATTTCGAAACAAATATTGCAGTACAAAGACTGAAAAGTCATTATCACACATGGGCAATCTGTAGTAATTGATAAGTCTAAAACAAAACAATACTATTAGTAAATTGAAAACTTTTCGCGATGTCGATTAGTTATCTCATTAATTAACCTGTCTTTCTGGTGAACAGTAGTCTGTCCTTAGCAACACTGACATGACATATACAGAACGAACAGCTGTATGATGCAGTTTAATTTATTGTTTGGCACTACTTTATCATACACTAAATTGGTATTTAAAATTGGAAGTATATTTTGTACAATAATCAGGATATACTGCTGGCTGCCTTTCAGGCTCCAACGTTTGACATAACCTGTTCAGAATATACACGTGAACTTGACGTCCTTCCAAGATTATCTGGTGTATGAAAATACCTGTACAATAGTTGTACCTAGTTCAGCTTTTGAAATGAAAAGGCACTCTTCACTAGCGTTTTTGTAAAATCTATGTTACAATTTATTGTTTGGTATATGAAAATACTTGTGAAATAGCTGCACATAGCTCTACTTTTGAATTAAAAGGCACACTTCACTAGTGTTTTTTTTAATCTGTAAGATTTTAAAGTTTTCTTTACATTCAGCTAATAAAACCCTGCTTAGAACTAACAAGAAAACCATTATGAAATTGAAATTATGTGAAAAATATTAAATAAAATGCAGAAATCTCATGACTATGAAATTCTATTGATAGTAGAAATTGTTCTTTCTATTTTTTCTCACTTTCATCTGTTTCGGGTTTTATGAAGGATTCATATGTTGATAGACAAAGGAAATAATTCGGAAACTCATCCCTCTGACAGTGTCAGCAATTTTTCATTTAATTTCAAGAAATTGATTTTGCCTGTAATCAAATATGCTAGACTGTATCGGATACAACTATTTCTCAAGACTAGATAAGGAAAACTTGAACCACTTTATCGTAAACGATAGATTCTCTCGATGGAATGCAACCCAATTGTTGGTTTTTCATCAGATATGTTTTAAAGACATAGCTTTTGCATTAAAACGAATAGGAATATTGGGTTAAATCATAGCAGTTGGCTTTTTTATGATTACGTCTGTAAAATTGAAGCAAAGGTGAATCCATGTAAAATAGTTATCGAAGACTTAAACGCGTAGTGTACTTTGAAAGTTAACCGTATAAATCAGAAAATAGATA